AAAATCGAAAAGCAGAGCAAACAAAAGTCAAGCGCAATTATAGTGGAACACAAAATTAAATCAGTTATATTTAGAGATATAAAAACTTGCATATTCGCTAAAACTAGCTATATTCAATATGTAAACTGTAAAATATTTTTTAAGAACTAAGACGTGTCCAATTACTCGCGTTCTTTTTCACTAAAATTTTACTTTTTCAGTAATTATTCAGTAATTATTTTAATGATGTATGTCGAAAATTGGGCGATTCCTCTCTTTACATACAACATGATAAATACACAGTGGAATAATTTTTTGTTTCTCAACAACAGGTATTTTTTACTGGGCTTTTACATAAAAAAAATATGCCTTTTAAAAAGCTTCATTGTTCTTCAATTTTTAAAAACTCTGCTTTGAATTTTTTATAATGTATAATAAGTTTTGTAGTATAATTAATGCAGTATAAGAAATTTAAATATCTTTTTACAATATATGAAAATTAATGTAATAGTAAAGCCATCTTTTATACATATATTATATATAAGCCAACTCTTTTATTATACATATACAATTTTAAGTGGTATTAAAATAAAATTTAAAATTAACACATATTTAAAGTAAAAGAAAAAAAGTTATAAATTATTTGTAGAATTTTTTAAAAATGAACTCATTGACTTCTTAAAATCTATTGGCGATGGAATCATTTTTAACTTTATATTCTTTTTTAATAGCTAAAAATACATAAGAATCAATCATTCAGATGTTGAGAAACAGAAATACAATAACTATATATAATTATTTTTACGGCAAATTATATTACTTAAATTATGACGTTATTTTCTCAAGTGGGATATCGTAACATATAAATGATCTCTTTATGAAGTTGGTATAGTATTTTTTGTTAATCCGTTTCTCGACGATTAACTTCAGATGCACGTAAAAATTATCTTCAGCGAGACTGTCGCCGAAATCGCTTAAAGAGAGGATAATGCGTTTACCAAATGCGCGACTGTGTTTGCGGGCTCATCGTAGTCTTCGTAGAGGGTAGTGATTATGCTCTAGTGGCGGGCAAAGTGGCGGGTAAAGCACGAGAAGGCGGTCGTGAAGGAGGCATCGGGTCGGGATGAGAGGCAGAGTGCAGAAGATACGTCGAGATCGGATGGTACACGTGAAGTGAAGGTGCTCAGAGGAAGAGAAGGCCAGCTCGGCACTTCGCGGGTTACCCGCGGTGAATTCCGAATTTCCAGGGCGTAGCAAATTTCAGAAAGCTTGGCTATATACCGCCTTGGCTCGGTCGTCAAGTAGGATTTTGCTCGCCCGTGACAACGAATTTCGGGATCGCCGTGTAGATAAGAACCGCAGAATTTTATCCCGGCTTGGGATAATGGAAGGACGAAGGGAGGCACGTCGTATTTCTGAATAAAAACTCATGCCTGAAAAACGTAAAAAAGAATGTCAGTGGAATGTCTTTTATTTGTCACACAGACTATTCTACTTCTTTCTTAACAAATATCATTTGTTTTTTTATATCACGCAAAAATTATGTACAGGTAACAGTTTTTATTACGCATTCCTGCGTAATAAATTTAAAACGTTATGTAATTTTTACATAGTCTTTAGCGCACACACACAAAACTATTTTACTAACATTAAGTTAGTATGCTCGTGTTCGATATTTCGATACAAAACAGAATTTCGTATGCTGTATAAATTATTTCGGATAAAAGGAAAGAGGCTTAAAACATGAAAGATATTTTTAATGTAACTTTAATACTCAGAATAAAGTTGTTACGATCTATATCAACGATAATATAATGAGCATATTGAAAGCTAATTTGTCGATAGAACGCTTCTTAATAACAATTTTTCTTTTCGGTCTTTTTGATTGGTAGTAGAAGATGACCTAAAAGAAAAAGGTTACTAGGACAGAATCCTATCTATTAACACTATCAATAGTAAAAAATATTTGACTGCTTTAACTTTAATAAATTGAAATTTATTCTGACATGTAATTAATTATAAATATATTCGCATCACATATAAAATTTATAATTGCAAATCTTTAAATTTATTATCAGATACTTTAAGAAAAAAGAGATAAAAGTATTGATTTTTTAAAGGCTTGAGTATTAATAATACTAAAGCTTTAAATAACTAATCAATACGCATAATTAAAATGATTAAATTTTATTATTTAGAATGTATTGGTAAAAATTGTAATTAAATACTTGATTTTCCTTATAAAATCAGTCGTAGAGTCTTGAAATATATTCGTGCATTAAATTTCATGAAGTTTGAATGAATGCTCCCTGAACTCTCCACAGACTGCTGTTTTCGTACCTAACTTCCACTTCTGTTTACCCGCGATAAATATTGAAACTTTCAGTTTGCATGTAAAAACCGTCAATCAAACGTCGAAATAAGTCACTTTGCTGATTCACATAATTTCTTCTTTCTTAAATTCCTTGTTGGAAAGTTAGGTCGATGGAATTAACTTCATTTCCAGTTTCATTATTATGTTTATCTTAGAGGCTCAAATTAAGATAATAGAAAATGAGCAAATTAAAGAAAAATTAATCGACACATAAAAGTGCATAAATGTGTATTTAGCAGAATGATCAATGATTTCAATGAGAACAAGTATTAATTTTTTATCAATATTATGGACTTTTATTATGGATTTTTAAATAGAAGAATCGATTTAAATATCTGGCATAATATTATTACATGTCTATAAATGTTTACATATGAATTGAAAATTAATGAATTTCAAAACTTATTAATATGCATATATTTTCCTTAATTTATTCTTGTCAATATTAATAAATTGCCATCTATAGATGATATTTTATCTAATCGAAATAGAATTTTGATTGAATTTAATTATATTTGGTTGTGTGAAATAGAATTGCATTTGAAACACGATATACAATTTTTGAATGTCTAATCAAAATTCTATTTCGATCAAATGGACTATCATCGATATACATGATAGTTTATTGATACAATATCGACAAGCGAGAATGAAATTATAAAAAGTGCTTTTGTATTGAGCTTTTAGATTATAATAAATTTTGTATTAGTCTTTTTTTTTAATTGAAACAGAATCACATTTGAAATGATATGCAATTTTTTTGATTGCATGATGAAAAAAGAGAAGGAAAGAGCGAGAGAAATTCCTTCTTCGATGAATGAAGAAGTTACTAAGAGAAAAATATATCTTGCTAAAAGGCAGAAACGATGAGAGAACGCTGTACTGAAGAAAGGGGAGCGGTCGGTACGAAAGAATTTTACGAAAATGAGAAGAAGGAGAGAATCTTTCTTATTCCTAGTAGTACGAGTCGTACTTTGATCAGACGCAGTGGATTTACACTCACTCTCAGCAATCCTCCCGCTTCTTCTTGTCGCGTCGCCTTATCTTTTTCTTTCTCACATCGTTCTCTTATCCCTCCTTCTTCACATCCTTGCCCCTATCTGTCGCGCTGTAGCAGCATATCCTGGCGCCTTTGAAGAAGAACTCGCGCGTCGCGGACATTTTAGATGCCTTAGGCACAACCGGAAGTGCCGTTGCAATGCCATTACCTGCAGAAAGAAACAGATATACGGATACGATAAAGAAGGACAGGATGGTAAGAAAACAAAGAGGGAATTATGAAAAAGAGAGAGAGAGAGAGAGTGAGAGAGAGAACGCGAGAGAGAGGGGGGAGAGGGGGGGGATGAAAAGGAGGGAGAGAGGAAATATTGTAAAGAAAAGCGATCGCGACAAAATCCTTTTCTTCGCGAGAAAGACACGTACACGTCGTCGGTGTCTTTTCTGCGCCTTATCCAGCATACGGAACTTATAGCATGTGACATTCGCAGGAAATGAGACACGAAACGAGATGTATGTTCCAAAAACAAGATACATTTTACGAGCGACTTGGTTTCCATTTCTCTATAAACTGAACGCTACTTTCCTGTGTGCACGCGATAGATCTCATCTTGCAACTTACCTGCATACAGTTATTCGTGCAGATTTTTAAAACAATAAGTCGTGATCCTTGTTATTAAATCTTGTTGCAGTTGCAACGAAAAAAAACATTTGTTGTAACAATAATACATATCTGTATTTTATATATATGGAAAATACGAAGGCAGAGGTGAAATGTTAAAAGTGAGATATGATCAGGTATCGAAGAAAACTTTATTCTCGCAAAAGTTCAATATTTCTATAAAAAGTGTGCATACTATGAGAGAATATTTCCGTTTACTAAAAACGAAGATTCTAACGTAAGAAAGTGCACAAAAATGTCAAAGGAAAAGTGCATCCACATATGGTATGCGCTTAAGAATCTTGGTGCCTCTGAAGATTTATATACTCGCGTAAGAATGTGATTTAATAGGTATGTGTTCGATAAATATTCTTGGAATATTTATTCAAGGCATAAAAGACGGAACCAAATATACCTCGAACATGCAGATCACATTCTGGAATCTTTCATCGTTTTCTTCAATTTTTAACAATATCCAGCGTATATAAAGTTAAGAATTTATAAAGGCAAGAAGATATAAAAGATTTAAATATGAATCTATTTATTTCTTAAAACATAAATAAAATAAAGAACGATGTTAAAAAGAGATCGATTTTGCTCAAAAAAGAAATAATTTTTATAGATTTTGACCTCCTGATAATATGATAAAATCATTAATGTCTTTTATAAAGAATTCTTATTTATTACCTGTATTTAAAACTTAATATTTAATACATCGAAGGTTTAATCGTTTAATTAGCTGCAGTAAAGTCGGCAATGGTCGACCAGAGACGTGATTGCAGCGAGTCGATCTCAAGAGGAGATGAAGCATGGTGAAACGGGAGGACGTCGCGTCGTCGGGCACGAAATGTTCCGGAATCTAAACTCTAAACTAGAGAATTTGTTCGTGCAGAGACGGAATTTGTCGGCATGATCGCGTTGCGGGAGATACGATTATGCTCACAGCACGATTCCACCGGGAAGTAATTTCTTTGTGGTTTTCTGTTGCAGATACAAGTCTATGGCTTTAACGCCGAACTGTATCACAACATGAGTGAGGCACAGCATAAAAGTCAGGGGCTGGTGGCGATTTCGTTAATGGTGCAGGTGAGTGAATTTCCTATCGACGAAAGTTTCGTCCATTTTTCAAATTGTTTAAGTCCGCAAAAAAGTTTTTCGCACGTAATTTCCTTCGCTATAAATTTTTATAGTCATTTAATCTTGCGCGTCATTAATAAAAACGTAAGTAATTAAATCGCTCAGATATTACCTTTCAATAGAATCGAGAATGCATACAGCCATATCCAAAATTACTAGGCATTTTTTAAATTACATAACTCTTAGTATATAGATCAAAATAAATACGACAAATTTATTAACATATTTGTTTATTAATAAATTATTGCTATTTAATATTTTATTACATTTGTTTCATGACTTCTGCAAATTTTTTTTTATAAATTCTTTAATAGTTCTTTGCGGTGAATTTCGCACGTTATTTCTTTATTCTTTTATAATCGCAATTCCTAAGTCTTATTTTGAAAATTTCCGATTATGAATTTTTTTCTTTAAAGTGGGCCCATATTTAATCGATTCGATGTCAGGATTTTGTAAATCGCCAATTTATGACTTTAATCCTATTTTTTTTAACCATGTCATACTAGTATAACATGTATAAATATAGTTACGCAATAAATTCCAAGAAAATATACACACATGGATCGCAACTAATTCCAAGAAATTATTTAAAAAAAAATAATGTGTTATTTTTTAGATAATTATTAATTAATAGAAAATCCGATTACTTTAGATACGGTTGTACGATTCTGGAAAAATAACTGAATTAAAATTTTATAACATTAACTTTAAAATTTCGTGAGCTTTTTGAAAATTAAAGAAATCAAGATTAAAAAATGATTAATACTGTTAAAGTAATTATTTTTATTTCGCGCTGTATCTACATGAATTCATAAAAATATCCGTTCAATATATCAAATTCGGTATTTAATTGAATGCAATAAATCCGACAACGGTCGACGAGGCGTACGCGTATAATTGATATATATATATACCATAATCAATTAACATCATATATAGCAACGTAATTATTAAAAAATATACACGTTCAAATTCATTTACATGATTTATCAGTTTCTAACTAAACCCCATGTTTAGTTAGACGAACGATCCATGTAAATTGATAATTATGTTGGCTCTTAATATCATTCCCATCCCTCTACTCTTGTCAAGCCATCGTGTTATGGTGAAGCCGTTTCTAACAGGACGCATATCGTGATACTAACTTTCTAAACTTCGGACCACACTTAGCTTCCCCTTATAAGTGCATTCGGCGTATCAGAGATTACGGTAGTTAGCACGTAACAGACGCTATGTAGTCTCGCTAACAACGCTTGTCTTGTACCGAACATTCGATTATGTTGATTTTCTCGAATTCGCTAAACTATGTTTTTACGAGAATTTTCGTCGAAATTATACATCTAAATTAATTGCTAGAAAAAATAATTTGGTACATGATAAATTTTGATAAATTTTATAACATTTCATGGAAAATAATACACTGAGAGAAGGATGTAACAAATGTTTTCGACACGAATAAAATAACTTTAGGGAAAATCGAAAATATATAAAATACTCTCAAAGTACGCGCGTGTGTATTACAGGTGAAGTTTTCCAAACGAGCATTAATTACATCACGGACGAGGATGAACATTACCTGTTATTTTTTCAAACAGCAAACCCTTCAGCAGTCCCGGCACGTTTCTAACTAACAATATCATTATTATAGCATAATCATTTCGGTCGGAGGCTACGAGCAAACACGTGGTAAGTTTTCCAAGACGCGCGGCGTTTAACGCAGGAATAAATTTCGAAGTTTTGAGAAGACCTTCTGGTCGACTAAAGCTATGTCGTGGCTCTCTTTTATCCTTTGTTTGTTTCTCTCTTCCACATCTTTTCTTATCACATCCTTGTCGGTTCGTTCCTTGTCATTTCACTCGGTAAAAGCCGAATCATACTTCAAGATCGTTCTTTGTAAAACAGACAGTCGCGATGATTACACCCGCTAGGTGAGAGCACACAAATCGATAAATCAACAAATCATAAATTTTAATTTTATGTAATTTTGTTTGATAGATTTTTATTCACTAAAAGACATAATTCTAAAATTGAATTTTAATATTACGAGGTATAAATCATAAAGAAAGATTTTTTTTAAATAATTTCATCTAGATGCAACGATGACGAATTGTCTTAGGATTATGTGTTAATACTTTAATAATATAACAAAATTGTTAATGTGGATATAACTTCAACTGATATACTGAAACGTGACACAAAATGTAACACGATATTGTAAATATAATTTTAGAATTATTTTACAAATATTTACACATACATGTATACGTATACAATAAATACTTGTAATATAATATAATTAAATTAACATGTACAAGATCACGTTACATATTGTATAGCATTTCACTGCGCAGCATCATATATTTGTATTTTTTACAATAAATGAATTTGCTATTATATTTTTTCTTTGCATGGCAAATCGGATATATAAAATGTATATATATGTGTGTGTGAAGACTAAATCAGTGGTATCGATATTGGTGATCAAAGCAGACGCGATTTTAATATCATGTCGAATCGTTTTCCGTTCGTATTTTCCTCTTCAAATAACGGATTTATTATCGCGAAGCAATTATTTTGCCTCAACGCTCATGGACCGCTTTCTCGAGAGCTTTCTTCGGATCATCTACAAACTCCTTCAATAGAAATATTATGTTGTATTCTTCTTTCGAGATTTTTCGCTCTCTATATTTTTTGCTGATAAAAATATACCTTTACATCATTTGCACAAATGAAATTAATGAATACAAACATAATTAATGAATAATAAATTTGTTTTAATCTGAAAAATTCAAATGTCAATTTTTTGTGCTATATCTCGATAGATAATACATGTATCACGAAATTGAAAAAGGAAGAAATCTTTTCAGATTAATTTATACAAATTAATTTATAATATTCAAAAATGGGGGAGAAAAATTTCGCCAAGCTAGAAATTTCAAAGGAATTACAATTTTTTTTTTAAATTAACACATTGTCATTTCTTTTAACAGGCTTTTATGAAATAACATCCCGTTAAATAGAATTAGCCACAAAACTATGTGTTTATTAAATATATATATACAATATA